CTTGTTTGTGGGCGGAGGAGCCGCGCCTGGTGCGGCGGCCCCGCGCCAGCCCACTGATCCCGTAAAATATTATTTGTGTTTAAAAATTCCAGTAATTGGCTATGCAGCCGCTTTTTCCGAGCCTGGTGCCAAACGCAGTAAAATCGCAGTCCGGCTGGAGTTATTTTCATCATGCAAATTCCCATTTCTGTAAATAGGGGTGAAGCCCCTGCGAGAAGCTAGGCTGGAGGCAGAGAAGGAACCCCGAGGGGAGCGTCCCTGAGTCGGGGAGCTGGTCGCACCGGGTCCAGGGGCTGATTCAGTCCAACCCCTCCCGGGTCGCTCCACCTCCGCGGCCAGCGCCAGGGCTCTGCCGGGCACAATCCCTGGTTTCCTTACTTCCCCTTCCCTTTCCTCATCTTCATAACTACATCATCAAGTCACGAAATTGTCATTATTTCCTCTTTATTTTTTTGCAGCACAGACGCAAACTGAGGCCTAAGAGGGAACGGGACTTGCCCAAGGTCCCCCAGCAAGTCTGTGCTGCAGCCCTCGGACCCGGCAGGGCTTTCGGAGAGGCGGCTGGTGCAGGGCCCAGGCAGCCGGCTCAGCGAGCCCAGGGCCTGCCTCTGGGACCTGACTGTGGGCACAATAAGGGGAGGACTTCGTCCCTCTCCAAACAGTCACACTTCCTGTCCCCAGGAGCAGGGAGCCGCCTGGAGAGGAGGAGGAGGGAGTCCTTGCCAGGGCCTTGGAAACCCTGAGTAATGGCCCGGGGAGCCTCTGCCGGCTCCACCCAGCCGGGGCTGCTGTCTGCAGGGGGAGCAAAACCGCACGAGTGGGAGGAACGGATTTGTTAAGCAGATGTGGACAGGGAGCCCGGACTGTGATGCTGAAGGAGAGCTGGGGCTCAGAAAAGAGCGAGTCACGGCATATTGTTTGTAACATAACATTGTATCACATGTATCGTCGCTACATTGTGTTGAGCACGGACTGTGTGACAGGCGCAACTTCACAATGTGTCCGGTTTAACCCCCACAAGAGTAGGAAGTGGGCTCGAATATTATACCTACTTTCCAGATGAAAATACTGAGGCCCCAGGTGTGAAGCCCTTTCTCTGGGGATGTTTGTGACTAGAAGACCTCGAGTTTTACTTCTTTTCTTCACCAACTGCATGTTTTCATACTAGCCCGGTCTCTCCCTGCCTTCCTTCATTCCCCCCTGCAAGCCTGACCCCTGAAGGTGACCTCCTTCCCAGGATGCCAATGGTCCTCCCACTCCTATTCTCAGTCTTCCCCCTCCCCTCCCCTCCCCTCCTTCACACTGTAGCCCCTTCCCCAAGCGGAGGACTATCTGCATAGGTAAACCCTCTATGGTGCTACATTTACTGCCACCAATTCAGGCAGGTTAAAGGCAAACAGGCCATTAAGCTCTTTGCATGAAAACAACAAAACTTCTTTTCTTAGAAAAGTGGTTATGTGCTTAGTAGTGCATCTTCCAGACACACACACACACACACACACACACACACACACACCAAAAACAGGGATCCAGGTTGTGGTCTGAAAGAAGCAAGACCTTCCTGGTGGTTGGGGATTAGTTTGCAGCAGAATGGGCAGCGGTGAGGCACGGAGCTTCCCGTCACACAAATGTCTCAGCGCAGACTGAGGGCCCCTGTGGGGAACAAAGACATGCAGTGCCAGACGCATTCCTGGGTGCCCTTTGGCTTCCGTGCTCCAGGATCCATTCCAACCCTGGGATTCCTGCTCCATTACTATACAAACACGGGTCCTGCTTGGGATCAAGTGGAATTCGGAGTTAGAGTGTAAGTTTCTGGTCAGTTTCTGAATAGAAACAGCATCAAGGTGGCTGGCATCCAGGGGAGAAGGGGAAAGGACCCTCAGGGGGCCGGTGGGAGGGCCGCTTCCGGCTTGGCTTCTGGGATGGGGAGAGATGCGTGGTGGTGGTGGTGGTGGTGGTGGTGGTGGTGGTGGTGGTGAGGAAGGAAAGACCAAGTGGAACACAGTCTCTCCTGGATTCTGGGCACCTGAAGCGTGAAAACTCCAGAAGGGGAAGTATAAGAGAAAGCCAGTGCTCAGACTCCCAGGAGCCTAGCAGGGTCTCTATAGGTCTCCCCTCCCTTGGAGCTCATCTCAGCCCTCTGGTTTCCTCTCTGGGCCTTGCTTTCTGCTCAAGTAGGGCCTTGAGTGTATTGTGTTCAGGGGATGGCCCTCCTCCTCCCAGTATTGCCCTCCTCCTCCCAGCATTTCATGGCCTGGACTTGGGTTTGGGGCCCAAGGCTGTGTGAAGGATGCTTTCCCTGCCGGTGCCTCTGCCCAGCTCGGGGTCCTAACGTCCTTCTTCCCAGAACCCATCACAAAATTAAGAAGTGGGGTGACTGCATCATCACTTAGACAGGAGAGAGCCCCCCAAGGCCAGACCATGGGCCTCCCTGAACCTCCAACACCTGCCAGGCCCTTCGACAGCTGGCCCAATACCAATTTGGTCTCCGACTGTTATCAAAACCCCCACCAAGAACTCACCTCTCAAAGGTCAGCATGCGCCCTCTGCCCAGGAGGCCTCCCACTGCCCAGGTGCACGTGACAACTCCTCACCCCACCTTTCGAGTAAATATTTGTGCTAGATTAGCAATAGTTGGCCTCTTTCTTCTGCCCCAAAGGAGAGAGGAAAGATACGACTCCAGGCACTTTCAGGAGCATTATTCCACTTAATCTTGACAATAGCCTGAAACGTTGAAAATAGGTCAGATTCTGTAGATGGGAAAACTGAGGTGCGGAGAGGTTGCTACTTACCGAAGTGGCAGGGCGAAGATTTCATCTCAGATCTGAGTCTGAAGGCCTCGTCCCTTTCTCTGAGCCGCACAACCATATCCAGGAGGCAGATCAATGACAGTACAATGAACAAGAGACAGGGAGCTTGCAAGACCTTGAACTTTGTCATTTGGAGCCTGTTTTAATCTGTCAGGATTCCTTTAAAGACAGAGTGCCAACTGCCCTCATGGTCCCCCACCCCACAACCTCATTTCCCTCATATGTGCCCAAGATCCGTAGGATGCAAATAGTTCTTTTCTCCCCTTAATCACCTCCTTCAAAACCCAGTGCATAGCCAATTGCAATATGTGGACCTAATTTGAATCCTGATTTACATAAGCTGAAAGAAAGATACATTTGTGACACAATTGAAAATTTGAACACTGACTGGTGTTTGTTGGATATATTACAGACTTAATTTTTTTAATGCATTTATCTTTTTAATCCTCACCCAAAGATCTCCCCTTAATCACCTCCTTCAAAACCCAGTGCATAGCCAATTGCAATATGTGGACCTAATTTGAATCCTGATTTACATAAGCTGAAAGAAAGATACATTTGTGACACAATTGAAAATTTGAACACTGACTGGTATTTGTTGGATATATTACAGACTTAATTTTTTTATGTATTTATCTTTTTAATCCTCACCCAAAGATATGCGTATTGATTTTAGAGAGTGGGGAGGGGAGAGAGGGAGAGAGAAGGGGCGAGATGGGAGAGAACATGGATTGGTTGCCTTTTGCAGGTACCCAACCAGGGGATCAAACTCCCAACCTAGGTATGTGCCCTGACCGGGAACTGAACCTACCACCTTTCAGTCTATGGAGGACATTCCAACCAACTGAGCCACACCGGCCAGGGCCAGACTTAGTTTTTTAAATAACAAAGTTCCTTTTGGAACCGTTTTAGATTTATAGCAAAATTGAGACAAGAGTACAGTGAGTTGGCCCTGGGCGGGTGGCTCAGTTGTTAGAGCATCGGCCCCCTACACCAAGGTTGTGGGTTCCATCCCAGGTCTGGGCATATAGAAGAAGCAACCGTATACTCTCCCCTCCCCCCACAACACCCAGTGTCCTCTACTATTAACATCTCACATTTGCATGATACATTTGTTACAATTAGTGAACCCACAATTTCGAGAAGTGCTGGTCAGGTGTTCTGTGGCAGGCCCCTCTATTGGAATGTGATGCTTTTCTCATGATTCAATTGGGGTCAAGGGTTGGGGAGAGGAAGATCGCAGAGGTAAAGGGCCAGGTTTATCACATCATGTGAAGCGCATGTACCATCAACATGATTTGTGACCGTGGATGTTGACCTTGGTCACCAGGTTGAGGTGGTGTTTGTCAAGTTCTTCACTGTCAAGTTCCCCCCCCCCCCCCCACCCTCTCCTTTCTGTCCTCTTGGGTAGAAAGGCACTCTGGCCAACCCTCACGTACAGGATGGGGAGTTCTGATGCCTCCCCTTAAGGGCAGAGTGTCTAAATAATTTGGAATTCTTCTGCATGGGAGATTTCTCTCCCATTTATTTATTTAGTCAATTATTTAGTTCAGCATGGACTTGGGGATATTTATTTTATACTTTGGGTAATAATCCAATACTACTATATTTATTTTGTTGCTCAAATTGTTCCAACTTTGGCCACTGGGAGCTATTTCAGTTGGCTCCTGTGTCCCTTTGACATACTCCCATCAGTGTGGGGTTTCTGTTTTTGCTTTTGTTTTGCTTTGTTTAAGCACTTCCATACTTGCTGGCGCTCTAGCGACTCCAAGTCCAGCTTGTATGTTTCTCACCCCTGGTCCTGGACTCGGCCGTGTCTCCACGGAGCCCTGGTTTCACTGGAGAACGGGACTGGAGACCTAGCTCTGGCTGCTAGGCAGGCTCCTCGCTCCCGGGTTAAAGACTTCTTTTTAATTTTTTACATGATCATGGTATTGAAGTTATTTTTAAAAGAGTCCTTATCTTTTTTAGATACATATGAAATATTTACAGCTGAAGTGACATGTCTGCAATTTGCTTCAAAATAATACGGGGAGAGGTGGGACAAGACGGACCATGAATCACTCATCGTGGAGGCCGGAGCACAGGATACGCAGCGGCTCCGTATAATATTCTGTCTGCTTTCGTGTACTTGTGTGTGGGAAACGTCTGGACTAGCAACTGTAAGATAATAAAAGTAAACTGAGTCCCGATCACCTCCTCCAGCAGCTGCTCTCCATTCCTCTCGTGGCCTGGTATCTGCTCCCCATCCCGCTGGCCCTCCATCCTCCCTGTCCTCACCCCACTCTGCAGGCATCCTAGCCTCTGCCCACAGCCCCTCTCCTCAGAGCAGGGGGTGCTCAGCACCAGAGAGGGAAAAGCTGCCCGCCCCTGCCCCCCCCCCCCCCCCCCCCCCCCCCCGGGCCCCCGCCGGCGGGCCCCGCCTTTTTTTTCCGCCATGCCAGGGACCACAGCAGGCGGCCCGTGCCAGGCATTCTCACAGGTGCCGTCTCAGGTTGCTCCTCCCATACAGCCCTGGGAAGTGGGCATTATTCTTACCCTGAGTTGACAGATGAGGAAACTGAGGCTGAGAACCAAGGAACAACCCTGCCACATGGTGCCCCACAGGCCCTCTCTGAACCCACTCGAGGAAGAGGAAACCCTGGGTGCCCAGTGGCTTCCATTGGCCCTCTCCAGCCTTCTCCCCCTTCCTGCACCCAGCGGCTGAGCCCTCTGAACCGCATCCCTCTGTTCTCTGTCCTCAGCTTCCCATTGGGTTCAGCCAATGGAGCCACAGCAGGAGGTGGGAGGATGGAAGAGAGAAGTGGGGGTGTTGCTTCCCCCAGCATTGTCCCTGCTGTGCAGGTTTGGCAGTGGCTGTGTGGGCCACTGAAGGCCCCGGCCCTGCGGGCAGCCTTGCCTACAGCACCAGCACCTGCTAACTTAGGGAACCGCCTCCCCTCCCTTGCCGTCCCAGGTGCTGACCGCTTCCCCCTCAGCACCTGGCATCTGTTGACCCTCTGCATGAAATGCCCCTGGAACGGTCCCCACGGATGCAGCTGGCTCCCCCGGAGAAGGCTCCGGCCTGAGCCGATGGTCAGAGAAAGACACAGGTTGGCCACTGTGAGGAAGAGACGCACACAGGAGGGTCCAGAGCCGAGGGCGGCTGGCAGAGGGGACTTTGGTTCCGAGCTGAGGTCTTTTAATTAAATGAATGTGCTGGGGTTCTGTCTTCTCCGTTCCATGTTGCTTCCCCCGGGATCCTTCTGTCACTGAACTGGCTTTTATTTCCCTTGATCCCTCTCTCTGCCCCATTTCCGACCTGTCTGCCTGAGCGTCTGTCTCATCCTTTGTCATTTTACCTGTGGGTACCAGGCCTTCTCCCAGAGGCTTTGTGTGCATCCCTGCCTCATAGCCTCGCCTGTCTGTCTGTCCTCCCTCCTCACCCGCTCTTCCTCTCTGTCTCTATTTCTGTCTGCATCTACCACTGTCTTTACCTTTTTGATCTATCTCTGTTTCTAGCTTTCTGCCCTATTTTGTCCTGTTTCTGCCCCTCTGGCTGCCCCCCCCCCCCCCCCCCCCCCCCTCCCCCTTGGGCCTGCCTCTGCCTGGGGATTTCTCTGTGGCCTGAACATAAGGTGCTGTATCAGGCAGGGTCCCAGCCCCCCCCCCCCCACCTCCCCAGTTGATGCAAAAGAAGGAAGGAATCTTCCCAGAGCTAAGGGGAGGAACTAGGAGTGTTGAGGCCCAGAGATTAGCAACACAACACAGATGCCATTAGCAAGCCAGGCCGGAGGGGTCAGGGAGCAAAAGCGCTGGATGAGTCACGAGGGCTGCAGCCTGGAGGCAGGGCTGCCCTGCAGGAGCTGCTGTCTTGGAGAGATGTCGCCACACCAGAGCCATGGCTGAGTCTCTCCTCCCACCCCAGCCCTGCGGCTACTCCCATTGGGCGAACCCCACCGGAAGCCAGAGCAGAGCAGAGTAAGAGCAGACTGGGCTACGGGTGAGGCAAAGGCAGGGTGAGCAGCGTACTGGGTGCCTCCTCGCTGGAGTGAGGGTGTGAGGGCTGGCACCTGAGCCATCTCTGGTGGAGCAAACCCTTGGTCGTCAACCTCCAGGGCGAGCCCCTAATTCCCTGCTGAGCCTCTGAGCTGAGTTCGGAGGTCTCCACCTGCTCCTTACTGTCCAGGCCACACATTCCTCCAAGCTCCGGGGAAAGGATGCCGTGATCATGTGCCCTCTCCCCCACGCAGTCCCCGTTTCGCTAGCTTACCAGTTAGGCTTAGGTTTTTGCAAATGTCAGAAAATCCACGATAACCGTTGTTTGTAAAAGATAACGTTTACTTCTCTCACCCATATAGAAATTCCATATATAGGAAGCTCGGAGCCAGGTGGGTAGGGTCACAGAGTCATTTGAGATCCAGGTTCCTTCTATTCTATTGCTCTGTCTTCCTCAGTACATAGCTTCCACCTTGTGATACAAAAGGGCTGCTCAAGCTCCAGCCATCCCCCCTTCACTCCAGTGAGCAGCAAAACAAACAAACAAACAAACAAACAAACAAAAACCCTCAAGGGAGGGTCTCCTCCCATTTCAGATTGCCTGGAGGCCCCACACACTTTCATTGACATAGTATAGGCCAGAACCCTGCGCCAGGGCCAGAGGAGACTGGGAAACACAGTCTTTATTCTGGGTGTGAACCTGTGCAACAAAAGAGTTGATGATTCCATTCCCAAGGAAGAGACTGAGAATAGGTATTGTGAGCAGCAAAACAAACAAACAAACAAACAAACAAAAACCCTCAAGGGAGGGTCTCCTCCCATTTCAGATTGCCTGGAGGCCCCACACACTTTCATTGACATAGTATAGGCCAGAACCCTGCGCCAGGGCCAGAGGAGACTGGGAAACACAGTCTTTATTCTGGGTGTGAACCTGTGCAACAAAAGAGTTGATGATTCCATTCCCAAGGAAGAGACTGAGAATAGGTATTGGGTCAACTGCTAGCAGTTTCTGCACCACTGGAATGGTGGGCTGGTGCTGCGGGATTTGGAGATGCTGAGGAAGCAGCGGGGAGAGGGAGCCTGTAGCAAAGTTTAAGGAAAAGAAAAACACACAACTCCGCCTTCCCAACAGCTGCGTCTAGAGCGAGCTCCCCTCCCCGCTGCCCCGCCTGCGGCCACAGCACACAGTCCTCACTAACACCCTCTGCCAAAACCATCACCGCGCAGCCAAGACCCACAGTCATTCCTCTGTCCTTAACTTCCTCCACTCAGCGGCATCTCACATGAAGGAGGCACCTGGCCCCGAGGCCGCCTCCTCTCCCGAACCCCCATCACCCTCTCCTCGCCCCCTTCCATCGCCCCGGCCCGGCCTCTGCCCCTGGCTCGCACTGGCCTCTCTAACTCTGAACACTGGGCTCCCTCCCGGCCAGGCCAGACCCCTTTCCTCTCCTTTGTATACACTTGTCCAGGGGTCTCACCCAGGACTATGGGTTCACAGACTCCATTGCTTAAGGCCCTAATGTAACATATTTTTTTAATGGCAAAGGTGGAAATTTATTGAAGAACAAGTACAGACTCCACGTGGGGAGGGGGACAGAGTCCCCTCGGCCCGAACATTTTTATCTCCAGCCCTCACGTTCCCTCCTGATTCATTTCCCCAACTTCTCACCTCCCATCTGAGATGTAACAGCCCCAAACAGCGCTCCAGTGTTCCTCCCCACACCTCCTCCCTCAGGCTTCCCACTCAGGAAGCGCTGCCCGCATCCGCCAAAACACTCAAGCCCAAAGCTTAGGGGCCCCCTTTGATCTCTCTCTCCTCACCCTCACTCCTCCTCTCCAACCCACCAGCCAGTCCGCTCCTTCCTCACCACGTTCACCGCCACCTCCCAGGCCAGTCTGTCTCCCTCCAGCTGACCTCTGCTCAGCCTCCACAGGCCCGCTCTCGCCCTTACCCTGACCCATCCCTTCTTCTCAGAGCAGCAGGGACAATCTTGGAACATTGATCAGATGGTTCTTCCTTCTCTTCCCAACGGCCCCCAAAAGCACTGACAAGAAAATCTCAGCCCCTCCCCAAGGCCAGGTGTCCTACACACCGTCCGGCCTTTCGCCCCCCTCCCCCACTGCACCTCCCTACCCTCCTTGAGTTCTCCGTACACCTCACTACTCTTTTTTCTTTTTCTTCCTTTTATCTTCTTTTTTTTTCAGGTCTCAGACAGGTTGAGACCTTTCCTGCCCATCACCTCTGCACCCTCCCTCCCTCCCACTGCTGTGCTCCTCTCCAGCTCCTGCTCATCCTGCAGGTTCACCCCCAAGCCGTGCGCTCAGGGAACTACCCATCTTAACTCCTTGCTCATTTTTTTTTGAAATTATTTCGCAATTGTTTTACGCGTCCAGGCACTTTCTTTTAGTCCATGTCGCTCCACTAAAAGGTAAGCACCATGAGAGCAGGGCAGGTGGCCATCTCCTCAGCACAATTGGTCCAGCTTGCTCTGGGCCACCTCCCATCTGACCACTGCTGTCTTCTTTCTCCCCCCACTTCCCCAGGCACACCCTCACCCCTCTCTCCACACACACACTCACTCACCAACAAGCCTGGAATAAAGTATCCTTCATAAAGCACCTACTACGTGCCAGGTGTGTGCCTCCTCCTCACAACCAAGCCCAGAGGGTAGATTAGACTCTTTTCCAAATGAAAAGACGTAGCTCAAAGAGCTAAATCATTTGCCCGAGACCACACTAGGGGTAACGTTGGATTCCAATCCAGGGCAGCCTGAGTCACTTCAACCGGACCAGGTGAGCAGGTGGGGTGGGAGAAGGTTCTTAGGCCCTCCCTCCCTGTGGCATGCTCACCCCGCCCTTGATCCCCATCTTGCCCTTCAACCCTGTGGGTTCACCAGAAGTGGGAGGTCAGAAAGCAGGACTCTGAAAGGTAGACATTCTGGGCGGGTAAGGTCCAGGCGATGGTCTGTGGGGGATGGGGCTTGGTTTTGGGGAGGGACAGACCACCGGCTTCAGGAGTCCTGTGAAAGGAGAGGGTGACAAAAGGAAAAGATGGACAGAGAGGTCAATGCGGAGGTTTAAGCCCCCCAACTTCTGAATGCCTCTGTCTCCTTGCCTTGCCTACCACACAGCTCTGCTCAGGAGGTTTGCAATTGCCTGGGGCAGGGGAGGGAGGGGACCACTGCCCACTCCACCCACCTGCCCACAGTCCCCA